ATAATGACGCTCATCCTCATCCTCGGCACCCACACTGGACGAGGGGGGAGGGGACAAGGAATGATCTATCAGGCTGTCCTGGGAGTTGAGTCTTTACGCTGACGTCCCAGTACGGTCCATGATGAACGGCGCCCTGGGTACCGCATTCGAACCAGGCATGGGAGACGTCGAGGGCGTGCTGTACATGGACTCGAGCGGCAGTAGTCAAAACCAGTAGAAACACCCGTCTTCTACTTAAGGTCGTAGAAGGAAGACGAGGGGAGTGGTTCGAAGGGCGTTGAAGACCACATTCAGATCCAACGCAGGCGGTCCGAACTTGGTATTCAGGTCTTCAAGACTGAACGAGCGCAGCCAGGCCCGTAGGTCGGGAATTTTCGTCTTTCTCCGATCGTCCGGGATGGCCAGAACGGAGTAGATGGCGACCAGGTATGTGGGGGTGGTAAGCCCTTCAACCGACGGGTGCTACACAAGTACAGAAGGAACTGATCCAGAATCTGCGGTGACGCTGTCATCGGATCCTGGTGTTTGTCAGAACAAAATGCCTGGAACAAGCATCATTTATCAGCATACAGTCCCCCTGTAGATGGACGGTGGGCTGAAGCAATAGCCTTGGTCGCTCTAGCCGAATAGCCCTTGGCTTTCTGCATGTGTGTCAGGCGTGCAGACGATAACATGCGGGTATGAGGGTGTGGCAACAGACCGTGTGGTTGGACCACACATGAAGTTCCAGGGGTTGTCTCTGGCTATGTTTCGGAGGTCGATAACCCAACTTCTGGCTGACCAATAAGGCGAGACCAAAGTCAATGGCAGGGGTCGAGTGGCCTGGACCTCTGAAGAACCGTGGGAGGGAGAACCGGAGTCGGAAAAGCGTACGCGCGTAATCCTTCTCAGGAACGATGGAAGGCTTTGACTGCCACAGCGGTCGTATCCGGCACAGGTGGAATGGAAGACGACTGCTGGCCACATTCAGATATGAGGCAAACAGATCTAGGGTTGGGGTGTCGACCGTTTCACATAGTCTGGCCCGAGGCGCCGGAGAGCGTGAGGCGTCGGAGAGCTTGAGGCGCCTGGAACGCCTAAGATGGGGATTCTCGGGGGCGCCGGTCGAGTTTGTAGCGCCGGGAGAGGGGCGAGAACTCTGGGTCCGCAAACACCACACTACGGTGACGTCGTCAGTGGACACGATCAACAGGGCGTGACCGAGAATGCACTGTCAGCAAGTGCCGTCCTGGATAAGCATTTATCTCGAGGCTGTTGCTGTGCCTATGGTGTTGATCTCTGGATCACAGGTGGTCACAATGTGGGCTGGCGTGGGCCACTAGCCACTGACAAGGTGGCAGGGGAGGTAGTCAGCAACAGGGGTCTGCGATTGCGTACCGTCGGTACGATTCGGAAAAAGGTGTGATCGCCTGCGAGCCAACCTCAAGTAGACGAAGTAAACTAGCTTCACAATCGACCGCCGGGGCATCGACGTAACCGGGTAGTAGGAAGTCGAGGCAATATGGCCATTGCACGAAGTAATGAGATCGTTTTCATCCCTGAAGCGGCGTATAAGTACTCCTGTTCTTATATCGAGGTGACGATGGAGGACGACAACACGATACGAGGCAGGTATGCAACAGGGGTCAGTGGGACGGCCGAGGGACTTTAAGTATCAAATCGACACTGTGTCCGGTAGTCAAGGCGGAAGATAGGAAGGTGTCGTAGTCGAAAAGATCAAACCGGACGAAGGAAGGCGATCTTTTCCATCCCTTGAACGCCTATAGGCGCTATCGTTCTTATAGCGAAGGGTTGATGAAACAAGGTTCCTCGTGACAGCCGTGTTGGTAGAGGAGGTCTATTGTTTCCAACATCCGTGCATGGATGGACTGCGACAGGCGCCTGGTTGAGTGGTATCACCAAGCGTACAGGTAGACATGGAAACCAATCTGTAGAAATACATGGCACCCCTTGCCATGGTAAGTTGACCTAAATCCGGTCGGAGTTGTTGACAGTCCGAGTACTTGACACGTGACATGTAAATCACTCTGCGCAGTAGCCGAGAAAACCGCCTTGGAGTCGGAACTGAGGTGCAAACTCCACACACAGACAATCCTCAATGAACTGTGTGAGAGACGATCAAGTGGTGTACCCGAGTTTTGCGATAAAACACGGAACCCCATGGGCGTCGTGTAAAACCCGGGGAGCGCCGAGGAAGAGTCTCTCTCAGGAACGCTGGCGCTAGGGTAGGGTAGAACAGCGTTGATGTCTGCGATGTCGACGAAGTAAACTCTTTGTAAGTGGATGTCGTCATCGAATCTGATACAGACGCTGTTCACATGACGCTCTGTTTCGATGGAAACCCGCAGGTCATCTCTCCGGAATCATAGCGCTTTAAACGACGAGATTATGGATAACGTCTCAGTGGGCAAGTTGAATCAGACCAACTGTCTATTGGTTGAAATGATTCCACCCAGGAAGTAGTACGATAGTCACGATCCCGAAGACCGACGGGAGAGTAGCGACAGGAGCGGCGACAGTTGTTTCACCATGCTTCTCCGTGTGACGAGTTATGAGACGGCAGCAAGAGAAGAGGGCAGTGGCGCCGGGGAGGCGATTGCCGATGGTGCCCCTTAAGCCGCAGTAGAAGATCGGATGGTCGGCTCGTTGATCTGAGCTTGATAAAGCTTGTTGATCTGAAGCTTGTTGAGCGCCGAAGACATCAGAGGATGCGGAGGCGCCGGAGCGCGGAGACATCAGAGGCGCCGAGACATCAGCGGCGCCGAGTCATCAGAGGCGCCGGTGGCACCGAGTCATCGGAGGCGCCGGGAGCCGAGTCATCAGCTTGTCATGAACAAGTCATGAAGCTTGTTGAGCGCCGAGACATCAGCGGCGCCGAGTCATCGGAAGCGCCGGAGGCACCGAGTCATCAGAGGCGCCGAGTCATCGGAGGCGCCGGGAGCGCCGAGTCATCGGAGGCGCCGTGTCATCAGAGGCACCGAGTCATCAGAGGCGCCGAGACATCGGAGGCACCGTGTCATCAGAGGCGCCGAGACATCGGAGGCGCCGCGTCATCAGAGGCGCCGGAGGCGCCGGGAGCGCCGTGTCATCAGAGGCGCCAGAGGCGCCGTGTCATCAGAGGCGCCGGAGGCGCCGAGACATCGGAGGCGCCGGGGGCGCCGGAGACATCAGCGTTGACGGTGTTGGAGACCGTGAACGGTCGTATGTCGTGCCAGGGGAGGCAGACTCTACGTTGGGAGTCGCCGTGAAGCTCCGCTGAGCGCTGCTGCCGTCAACGTAGGTGGGGGTCGACGAGCACGTTGAGCGAGGTGTGTCCTGGATACTCGCATGAGCTGAAGGATCACAGCGACGAATGACTGCAACATCGGCACTGCCTTGTGAAAGTACAGGGCGTCGTACAATCACGGCCGAAAGGGGCGGCCCCGGCCAGATTTGTTCCCGCGGCAACAAGTGCAGCGAGGCAGAAAATCTGGAATTTAAGCAAAACATAACTATGTGGCAAAGCCACAAAGTGCGGGAAGCATAATGTGTGGCCAATCACAAAGTATGGGAAGCATAAAGTAACTCAAAAACAGTATATTTTATTAAAGTTTATGAGATAAACAAGTACGCTAAAAGGGAGCGAAAAGGCAAAGCCTTAAGCAAACACGTAACCATGTGGCAAAACCACAGAGTACGGGAGACATAATGTAACTCATAAACTTCGTATTATATTGAAGTTTATGAGAAGAAACAATTACGCTTAGAGGTAGCGAAAAGGCAAGGCTTTAAGCACACCAAAACAACATACATAAATGTAATGTATTACCCAAGCCAAAGGGAGAATTCAAAACGCAGATCACGACATTACGTGGCCACGTGGTGAATGGCCAAAATGGCGGGAAAGAAAACAAAATGGCGGGAACAACATTGCGCCCGTAAATTACTGTGACGTGAGCCACAGACGAGCGATAAACGTTACAATTTACGAATGGGAAGACCCTAAGGTCACGGCCCATAACAGGTAACAATGTAGCAGCATATAATGAATGTAGAAACACGCAAAATATAAAAAACAAATAATAAGCTTTAATTTCCACAAGGGATACAAAGTACGTCCGTCCGTGGAGGTGACAAAGCAGTTATGTCTTTTTGTGTGACGTCATGACTTCCGGGTCACGTGCCGACTGTGAGAGGGCGCTGCCTCCTGGGCTGGTTGGGACAACTTTCTTCAGCAGCTGGATCTCACACAGTTCGTCTCTCTGTCAAACATAGCAGTAAATGCAATACGGAGTAATGCAGGATAAGTTAAAAAATTAGCTCATCACAGATGACCAATTACTGTGTGATAACACCCTGATCCAGACACTTCTACCCAGCTCATCACAGATGACCAATTACTGTCTGATAACACCCTGGTCCAGGCACTTCTAACTAGCTCATCACAGATGACCAATTACTGTCTGATAACACCCTGGTCCAGGCACTTCTAACTAGCTCATCACAGATGAACAATTACTGTGTGATAACACCCTGATCCAGGCACTTCTACCCAGCTTATCATAGATGACCAATTACTCTCTGATAACACCCTGATCCAGACACTTCTACCTTGGTCACCACAGATGACCAATTACTGTGTGATAACACCCTGGTCCAGGCACTTCTACCAAGCTCATCACAGATGACCAATTACTGTGTGATAACACCCTGGTCCAGGCACTTCTACCCAGCTCATCACAGATGACCAATTACTGTCTGATAACACCCTGGTCCAGGCACTTCTACCTAACTCATCACAGATGACCAATTACTGTCTGATAACACCCTGGTCGAGGCACAGATGATAACTACTGTGTGATAACACCCTGTTTGTTTGTTTTGTATATCATGACAGGGAACACCAGAAATGACAACAGCTGTGTATGTTTGAGTGGATGGGTACGTTTTGAGTAGATGGGTATTTTGAGTGGATGGGTAGATTTGAGCGGATTTGTGGGTGGCTGCCTGGCAATACTCACTGACTGTCGTGCTCCAACATTATGGAAGCTTTCATGATATCCTTCTTGTGGACGGGACCAATATTAATACCGGCATACTGCAAGAAAATACACCCTCATAAGTAACCAAGATGAAAACATTCACCCAACACATATATAAGCTGTTCACAATCCTCTCTATCTCTGCATGTCCCACATGACCACCTTGTTCCTTCTAGTCTGGAGCAGATAAACCTGTGATTGATAGTGTCAGGCCATGATATCCGTCAGTTCCAAGAATCAATGGCACCAAGGCACTGGAGCCCAGGAGGAAGCTATTGTGGCCCTCAGTCCCACTTACATCCTTAAACATGACATAAGCTATTGGATAGAGTGAGTGAGTTGGGTTTAACACCACTTTGAACAGTATTCAAGTTATATCACAGCGTGTAAGCTTAATGTAAGAGGAACACTCAAAGTGATGCATGTCTCAGACTTTTACCACTTTGGCAAAACCAACAATCAGGGGTATGGTGCTGACAAACATAGAATATGTAAAGGGGGCAAACCAGGACTCGGACTCTCCTTCCCTCTCTGTCTGTCTGTCCGTCTGTGTTACCAGTCCTTGTTATAGCCCCTAAATGCCAAGCGTCAGGTAGGGTAACAACAAGTTCCTTTCTGTATGATATGGACTGAGATCCAACCGCCAAGCTTCCCTCTCTGGGCAGACACTATCAACTGGTCCACAGAGGCCTGTGTGACAAGGTAATGGTACAACTGTTTGGCAGGTGATGAAGTTCAACCCTTATTATGCACGTATTAAGCATTGCCCATCAGCCCTTGTCACACATTGGCAACATGTCTCCATCTCAGGAAAGCCCACTGGGGAGGTATCCCTGAAGTGAAAGCCCCCGACAGCGACATTCCTCTGTCACCACAACCTGTAAATAATTGTCCTTGGCCAAGCAAAACAGTGACTGAAAGAATAAACAAGTTTTTGATGACATGATTTGTTTGTTTGTTGTTTAACATCATACTCAGCAATATTCCAGCTAAAAACGACGCTCTGTAAATAATTAAGTCTGGAGTACTCTGGACCAGACTATCCAGTGACTGACATCATGAGCACCAATCTACGCAATTGGGATACGATGACAAGCAGTAACCAAGTCCGCGAGCCTGGCCACCCGTCCCCTTAGTTGCCTCTTACGACAAGCATGGGTTGCTGAAGACCAATTTTAACCCGGATCTCCACGGGTCTTTCGATGACAAGCAACTGACATGTTTCATTTCATCAGCTGTTCCAGGAAGCATAGAATAGTGGAGGCCTACTTTGCACCAAAGTCCTGATGGGAACAACATCTACCATACAATACCAACATTCTGTGGACTGTTTTGTTCCTACATCACTGCTTATACCTACTGACAGTGACAGTATACTCACAGGGATTTTGGAAGTTTTGAGGAATTCTAGCAGGGCTTCAAGCGAGCCCAGAGTCGAGGCTTGGACAAACACGCCTCTCTCTGAAAGCTTGATGGACTCCAGGACATCTTTGAGTGCTTTGGCGACTTCACTCTGAAAGCATGACATGGAAGACTCACTCAATCCAACCAGTGAGAAGGACAAGAGATCAGTGTTACACTGGACACATGAGTGACAAAACACGTGGCAGTAGACCTGTGGAACTGTGAGCACAATGATTTACATTGAGGAATATTCTCTATTTACACAGATTACTTTTCAGGTAAGAAAATTTGAATTATATTCCACTCAAAGTTTGATGAGGATCATCAGTTTAACGCAGATATGTTTGTGGCTAAATTCCACAGAGTATTGCTTCTCATTTCACCAGGAAGAAATTGTAACATTAAATCAAACTGGAAGTTGCAAGTGATTGGTTACAAGTGATAACATGTTCACACGCCTCCACCAAGAGATGGAGATCTTTCTGTAGACATGACAAGTTGAACAAGAAAACAGCGTTATCACTATCCCCAACCATGGGGCACATTAGAATTTTGTTTGCTCATATAGTAGTGAATAACATGGAAGTTAAAATGCTATTGAAAAGAGTCCTGTATATCCTTAAGAGGAGATAGGCACTGGGGTGACTTTATGTCATGAGAAAATCGGATTCGAACTCAGTTTTGATAAGTATCTCCAAGACATGTATGCAAGCTTTCATTCAGGTAACTTCAGTAGTTTCACACAGTATGCACACAGTATGCACAAAGTTGAAAAGCAGAGAGCAAGGGCCATAACTCTGTAAAAAATAATTTAGGACCCCAATTTTCGAACTCATTTGAGATAATGACAAGTAACATATGTGTAAAATTTCATTTCTCTCATAAAATAGTTTTTGAGAAAATTTGTCCCCACTGAAAAGCGGATAGTAAGACAGCAGGACGACGGATGGACCCCGTTCCTATAAACCCCGCCACTGAGGTGGATTGTATGATGTCTGTTGATCATTGCTGAGATACAAAACTTAGAATACAAAACAAAATTAAAGTGTGTGTTTGGTATAAGAACGTGTTATAAACAAAGATTTAAGTCTCATGATTTTTTCTGAATGACAAAATTTCAACATGACCTATAATGTGTGACCTCAGCGAGATCATAGTTATCCAATCGGAACAGGTAAAATGAGGTCACCATGTTTGACAGAAGTTTGACAGTTTGACATTCCTGTGTATCCACCGACTGTCTCTTCACGTTGTGGGTAGAAAATCTATTTACCTAACTACAGAAACAACATGTTGGCCTGTACTATTTACGTGTTTACAGTAAACTACATTTATAACGAACATGCTTATAACGAACTGACAGATATAACTAAAATATTTTTTGGTCCAGGACATTTGTGTGTATATATATGCTGTAAATATGCTTATAATGAACTACGGTTATAACGATCTAAAATTAGTGGTCCCTTTGAGTTTGTTATAACTGTAGTTTATTGTATATACAATGTCATGGATTAAGAAATTTCTTCATACTTTTTTGGCTTAAGGGTGAAAACTAAGAATAAGGTGCTTTTTTTTTAAATAATACATGCTGAACAAGTTAGGGATTATGATTATGTTTGGGAACAATTTTTTAAAACCGTGTGCTCAGTCTTCACAAGAAGAAAATATCCCCCCAAATATTCATCCTTTTTTTTTCAGTATAAATATCGAAAAGAATAGTCATTTCTGAAAAAAGCAACCATTTAGTATGTGCTTTTACATTCATAATTTGATTCTATAAAAAAATGTTTAATATAATTTACAACTCATTACTTCATCAAGACCAGCCACATGATAAAGGGGATAGTTTGTGCTTGGTCTTCGTCGTCTCGGTGTACTTCTCATCACCTGTACAGCAGCATCGGCTGTTACTCAACTAACAAGCCTTGGATGCGGCTGCCATTTACCTGTCACCGTGACAACAAAATTTGGCAAATGGTGGTAAGGTCAACAGCAAGCTTTCCGGATGACTGGCCAATCACAAACCTTGTTTCACACCGATTTGAAGCACATTCATAGTGATCAAGTGCTAGCATTTTTTAATATGACAGTTGACGTCTGCAACCTCCAGTTCGGGTGTCTCAACCGTGACCTTTCAATTCATGTTGGCCCTGATCTTGCCCTGCTAGAGGAGTTTCTGCCAAACACAATCCAGCTGTAATCCCCCAGAAGTGCTGGCCATGTAAAACTTCAACAAAACTCATATCTCATTACCCCATCTGTTCACTTTACCTTGAAAACGTCAATTAAGTTTTTTGACAAATTTGTCTTGAAATCTGTGAAACCTAGCTTAAACTAATAATTCTTGATGTTCTCACAAAGAGCCACCTAAACCACTGACTGGCGGCAGGTGTTTTTTCACATGTTTGTCATAAAACAATCTTAAAAAAGTCCAGGTAAACACTATTTAATTTAATATTTCAGGTCATTAGGATGATTGGGAAATGCAAGATTTCAAACTGACTTTTATGCTCTTCAAACTGTCTGAATAATTGTTGAAGGGTGTTTCATGAATTGTGTTGGATTAAGTATCAGTATTTATTGTAAAATCTTATTTCATTTGTTAGCCCGATAATCTCAAATTTGCCGTACTGCCCTTTCAAACTAAGGTAACATTAATATACTAGTCCCTTTTGTCATTGTCAGTTGATCTATTTGATGACAAAGTCTGATAATACACAGGTACGGGAGCAGTTCAACAGATCAATGAGGATAAACAAATTAATTCTTTATGTTTGAGACAAAATCCTACACACCCCTTCAACTTAATTGTGAGTGAGTGAGCTGCTTTTAACAGTATTTCAGTTATATCGCAGCGTGTCAGCTTATTGTGAGAGGAAGGGCCGAAGTGATGCAGGTGTCAGACGTTTACCCCTGCGTTGAAACCCACGTGCATGGGTATGGTGCTGACAAACCTAGAAACATAATCGGGCCAAACCAGGATTCGAACCCACAATCATAGGTTTCTGGCGTGCCCAAGGGATGAAACTCTGCGCAAAGAATAACGGCGCCTTAGACGACTGGGCCACCTGTGCCCCCTCAACTTAATTGTGAATATGGTCACATTCTCAAAAAGAATCTCCTGTCAAGTAATCCTATATCCATGAAGCTAGAGATGTGGAACAGCTTTGACATACCATATTCATTGTATTAAGCGCCCTGCTCCAATATGTGCCCCCTGATCAACTTAAAGACGAATAGGAAATTTTAATAAACACCACCCAAGAAAAAGCTGAACATTTACCTGACTGTCCATATTTTCATATGCATATTACAGACATTTTACAGAAAACTGTAGCATAGAAAGGGTATTAAGAAATCTCATTAAAATCAGATCTTAGCTCTCGCTACCGGTAATCAAAGATCTGAGGACCTACCATAACAGGTTACATCAGAAAGATCTTTCATCTGACCAATCAGAGTGTCACTTACTAGGAAAGTGACAGTCACAATGTGTTTTCTAATCATGCAACCTCGAAAAGTATAACACACGGTATTCCAAACAACACTTATGGACTTCACGATTGAATCCGTCAAAACACCATCTACCTTTCACTTGAATGGAATAAACAATTGAACAGGAGAGATGTTGCATTGCCCATGGGAAATACTACCCTTTTGTTCAGTTTTCAAAGTTTGAATCAAGAATTATGTCAAAACATTTTTCAAAACGTTGCCAGTTTGCTGCTTTATGATTAGCGGATGTCGGCTTCTTTTTCGTCACTTCATTGGTCGTTTTGTTTGGACCTGTAATGAGTGAGTGAGGGAGTTGAGTTTAACGCCGCTTTTAACAGTATTACAGTTATATCAAGGCACATCAGCTTAATGTGGGAAGAAAGCCCAAAGTGATGCAGGTGTCAGACGTTTACCACTTCGGTGAAACCCACGAGCACGGGTATGGTGCTGACAAACCTAGAAACATAATCAGGTCGGTCCAGGAATTGAATCTACAATCATAGGTTTCTGACGTGCCCAAGAGACTCAACTCTGCACAGCGAATCACGGCGCCATAGACGACTGGGCCACCCTTGCCCCTGCGACCTGTTATGGGATGTCCTCAGATATTAGCTTAGCAAGTTGCGATATCTAATATGTCATTCAAAGAGATTGTGGTAAAAAATTCCCATGTAACCATTATCAGAAAAGGTTTAGTTACATCAACGTTTGATTTGGTTGGTTGGTTTGTTGTTTAACACCGTACTCAGCAATATTCCAGCTATATGACGGTGATCTGTAAATAATCAAGTCTGGACCAGACAATCCAGTGATTTACATCATGAACATCGGTCTACGCGATTGGGATCGATGACGTTCATCAAGCAAGTCAGCAAGCCTGATCACCGATCCCCATCAACGTTTGAACTTCGTTTGCACACTACTACTCGATCTCTACAAACAGGTTTCACTTGTTGTGCATGGTTTTAATATGCACCCCTCTTTTGTCAATTTTCTTAGCACCTGCGGCTCTTATTGCAACAAATATGGTATGTGAAGATGACTGCTGCTTCACACCCAACTCAGTCATATACCTGCGACAGAGGTATCATTCATTTTCAAAGCAGAACATGATGAGCTTATATTATTGATTTAAAATTTAAATCCCCTGAAAAGTTTATTTTGGCAGAATAACAACTTACAGATCTGCTCCCATTTTCGTAATATAGATATAATAATATATATACAATATGTAATATATAATATGTATTTCTTAATACATATATAGAATAAATTACGGTTATAACGAACGCAAAGGGACCACTAATTCATTATAACCGTAGTTCGTTATAAGCATATGTACAGCATAACTACAGCAAATAGTCAGGACCAAAAAGGTAAGTTTGTTATATCCGTCAGTTTGTTATAAATATGGTTTACTGTATATATGAACTCAGTTGCCAAAAAGATGACTTAAAGTATAAATATATATGAATGTATAAAACCAAACACATTGCTGAATTCGCTATCATGTTTCATTCATATCATCAGGTAGAAACTAGTGATATCTATTCAGATACATGCTACGCATTGTGTGTGGAAGGTATTCATGCTGGAGAACATATTCAACAGTGTGTTTCATTTTAAATTATACATATAAAACTGAAAAAAAGTTAGTTTTGTCATATGACAACAGGTAATCTGTCATGTCAAGTCCAGTTATCCAGTTTTAAACAAATTGTTCAAACTATGTACTTTAAAAGCAGTGAAACTTAAACTCAGCAGAGTAAACTGAGTGTCTTCAAAAACCGTAGGCCCAGTGGAAAAACAGTTGGCCCAAACATTTAGCTGAAGCAGGGAGACATACTCTTGCATTATAAATTACAAAACACAACCAGTCAACCAGAAGTTGTTACTGCTGTCACACAGAGTTTCCAGAGACTCTGTGGTGATAGGTGAAGCCGACATTTATCAAGGAAATTATCAGCTTGCAAAACATCTTTGCTACTAGATGTCACATACCATTTGTAAGGTTTAGAAATATCAAAATTATGGTTATCAAATTATTCTAAAAACTTAATTAGGTTAGTTTTTAATAGAAATTTAAGCTAACACATTCATAACATCCAGCACCAAGGAAGTGAAAATTATGGCTCTTTTCGGCAATTTTAAGATTTCATTAGATATCCACTAACTTATTTCTTTTTTTAATTTCATTGTTAAAGTTATCGGAAAAAGTCGATAAAAAGAATCACATATATTATGACATATTTCCCAATAATAGTGGCTTTCCACTCAGTGACAAAGAGAAAATACCGGAAAATACCTCCGTATTAAAAGCCTTGTATAAACAACATGTGCGAAGACTCATTTGATGTTTGGTATAGTTAAAAAGATCTGAAAATCAATAATATTGCAGTAACCGTTCGGCAGGAGTATTTTCATAGTTATAACATGTGATTTTATTGGATAGAAATTGGTTTCTAATAACATTTTTGCTGTAATTTAATATAAGGCAGCCAATCAAATTACAGCAATGGATACCGTCCTCGTGTACAATATATTTTTTTAGATATAGACAAAAGTCTTTGGTTTAATCGTGTTTATCCAACGATTGACATGAGCATTGATGTGCACAATTGGGATATGATGAAATGCATCAACCAAGTCAGCGAGCCTGACCAACGACAAGAATAATCGCCTCTGATGACAAGCTTGGGTTGCTGAAGACCTATTCTAACCCAGATCTTCATGGTTAAGTTTTGTCTTGAGAAACACTGGGAAGACCATCTGGTAACTCATTATGGCCTAACAAGTGATTGTTTCCAAAAAATACGGCAGTCAGCTGCCCATGTGTTCTGCCTGTAGATAAACCAGTGTTCATGTCACTACATGCCTTGAATAAGCTGCAGCTTCACATTTAAAGTCATTCCTCTCGGCCACTCAGTCCTTATTTCAGTTGGTGCCGGAGCCACTTATGAAATATCTCAGGTGATCAGTTGTGTTTCACCTTGCAAAACTATAATCAGACTTAATAATATGTGTATAGCCTATGTGTGTCTGAATCATGATTTGCATAAACAATATCAAACAAGCTACCGGGAACCACTGATTATCTGAATGATGACAATGTTTCTTTGTCTGTCACTTAATGCTGCACTCAGCAATATTGCAGATATATGGCGGATGCCTGTGAAGGATCAGACCTGAACCAGAAAATCCAGTGATCAATATTGAGAGCAATGATTCACACTGTCGGGGCACAATGATGACACGCTATCAATCGAGTCACAGAGCCTGATCACCAGATCCATTTGGTTGCCTCTTACGACCAGCATAACTTGCAGGGGACCTAAACTAACCCATAATTCCCTCAGGGACCTATGTCAATGAATGATGTTCTTGTCAAGGGACAACTAGTCATTCCTGGAGCACAGACAACCAGTCATTCCGAGTTTGAGTGTATTATTTAGCTATCTACTGTATATATAAGAACTATTCATATGGGTTGCACAATCAGCTTCCACCCACCTTGTAATACTCCTCCTCTTCCTTGTCACGAGCCACGTACAGCGGAAGTCCGGCCAGCGCCTTTTCAAGGTCTTTGGCAATGATCTTCACTCCCTGAGCTGCTTTCACCTCCTTGTGGTGCTCGTACTGGTTCTGTAGGGAGACAAGCACAAATGGAACTCAAAACTCATAGCTTTCTTCTACCTATGAGAGACAGTTCACAGAGGTTTGGTTAGGTTGTTTGTTGTCTAATGCCACACTCACAAATATTTCAACAATATGACGGCAGTCTGTAAATAATCAAGCCTGGCCTAGATAATCCAGTGATTGACATCATGAGCATAGATCTAAACAATTGGGATATGATGACATGAAGAAATCATGAGCACCCGATCCGGTTAACAACTTTACAACAAGAAAGGTTGCTGAAGACCAATTGTAACAGGATCTTCATGGGGGAAGTCAATAAGACGTACACACAGGTCATAAGAAAAGAGCATTTCGACAGGGTCATGTCTTGAGTGAGGGAATTAGGGCATGACTATTACATAATTTTCAGTTTGCGGTTGGCATTAAGTATTCAATGCCTGGAAATTTCAATTGATGCTGACCAAGAATCATAATTAGGACAAATTTGCCAATCAAACCCACGTTCATAGAACAAGGGACACAACTCAGCACAGTGAATTATTGTGCCTTAGATGAGTGGGCCACTTGTGCCCCAATGTGGACGTTGGAGGGAACAGAGTATTTGTACTGTGAGTGAGTGAGTGAGTGAGTGAGTGAGTGAGTGAGTGAGTGAGTGAGTGAGTGAGTGAGTGAGTGAGTGAGTGAGTGAGTGAGTGAGTGAGTGAGTGAGTGAGTGAGTACTGTTTAATGCTTTGAGCAGCATTCCAGTTATATCATGGTGTGTCAGCTTAATGTGGGAGGAAAGCCTGAAGTGATGCAGGTGTCAGACGTTTACCGCTTTTGTGAACATCATGAGCACGGGTATTGTGCTGACAAACCTAGAAACAAAATCGAGGTGAACTGGGATTCGAACCCCTGATCACAGGTTCCTAGCGAGCCCAAGGGACACAACATTGCAGAGTGAATTGTGGCACCTTACGACTGGGCCACCCGTGTCCCCTGTACTGAACTACATCACAGTGGCCAAGAATACATTTGACAACCAAATGTGATTCTGCAAATATGATTATATAATGTCTTGAGAATGATGCTGCACCTCAGTGGAAGCCATGTACCTCAGATGGTTACTCTGCTTCTGATCTTGCAAAAGTCTTTCTAGCTTCACTGTTGAGGACAAATATTCTACTTGTGAAAAGTTCTTAAAGATTGAATAAAATCATATAATTGCATTTGCCTCCAGGCTATTGTGCAAGTGAACAGGGCACAATTGATATTTGAGTAATACTTTGTAATACAAAACAGACACCATGTAATACTTGTATTTCAAAACTGGGTGATACTAGGTAATAACGGATTGTCATTACAATACTTGTACCCAACACTGGGTAATACCATCAGTCTTAGTAGAATGTGGGAAATACTAGGTAAAACTAGGAGAAAATGAAAAACTCAATAATAATATGTAATACTGGGTAATACTTTGTAGAACTGAGTAATACTATGTACTGCACTATGTGTTGTAAAACTACTGTATGAAATATTTGGCTACAAGATAATACTTGGTAACTATAATGAGAATATTTCTTGAAAGGTTAATACTACTCAATGACAAACATCATACATCAATAACAGATCAACTGAACAACTATCTGATCAACTCCATTCATACGACAATCTGATTTTTAATATAATAACACTGTTAATAAATGGATATTTTTTTATCAAATAAGAAAAACAGTTGAACCAACAAAGAAAATCCTCCTGATGAATTTACCGTATTTTCTTGAGTATAGTACGCACCCAAGTATAATGGGTAGTATTTAGTATTTTTGAAAAAAAATGGGAATATTATGCACAGAAAAAAATGACACCACACGTCTTCAGCAAACTCCGGTAAACGAATGGGTGATAAGAAACTTGGTCAGTACAAATTTGAAATTTGAGATAAAAAATCACCAGACGTGTTGTTTCTACCGTTTAAATTGGATTTTTTGTTCTGCTAGGCATTGTTTTACATCGAAGGATAAAGATTACATTATTACCGATGATTCAGTTAAAACTTACTCAATGATATAACTTTAAAGGATTTTAATGCAAGGATCGGGATGAATTGTATCCTAAACTATTTTTTTTATCAGGAATATTATATTCCAATATAAGGTTTTTTAGTTGCAGCTTTAATCAAATATATTTAAAATAATAAGCAAAGCACTTCGGTGCAGCTGATTGCGACTGCCAGTTATTTTTTTCGCATGGAACAATTTAACCAGTCACCGATGAGGCTCCCGCGCACATGATCGCGAGAACTATATGTTGACATAGATTTGTCAAACTATAACAAATATCACTTTTAACGTGTCAAAGTATGGCATTTATGATATATGTATCCATTCTCTGTCAACTAAAGTTCATTTCAAGGCGTCAATAGCGGTAATTTGACCGTGGTTGCTGCCGCATAACAGTGATTTGTGCGATCTTCCGATCGCTTCACAAGATTTCGCCGAAATTAATTAAAACAATATTAAAAGGAATTTTAAATAAAATTAATGAAATAAGTTACAAACATAAGTCCAGATATACATTGAACACTTTTTATATCCAGACAGTGTAATTACAAGATTAATTTGCGTACTTCAGTATGTATTTGTTGACATGGTATTTCCAGTGTTACGTGCTCACAGTAATGTCTTTGCGTTGGGTGGAAAAAACATCAAAACTCATTATGGCGTGTATAATGCGCACCCCCTTCTACACAGCTGTGTATTTTTGGAATAAATGTGTACACAATACTCTAGAAAATACGGTATCATTCATATTTATCCCCGGTCACAAGGTCAGTGAAACCCATTCAAGAACCCTCCTAAACTACCGGTACCCATCTACTGGAGCCTTCAAACAAGCATGTCATTACAACAGGTGTCTCTCCTGTCCACTACATTCAAGGTCAACTGACATCAGATTCAGGTCATCCCAGAGTTTGTTATCCGTGCTTACTTCACAAATAAAATATTTCGGAAACTTAAAATGAATAGCTGAAACTTCCCAAAGGATGTTTGTTGTCTGAATGGTGGAGATTAGCTGCCTTTGCGTCCATTCAGCTTAATGACTATTTAATTATAAGTCAGTCATATACCCGATGCCTCTCCCACAAAATACCTCTACAATTTGTCAAAAGTGGACTCAACGACAAAGGTCCAGTATGACCGCAAGTCCGGACCAACAAAGATTTGTTAATACAGGGAGTAGTCTTGGGCTTGACAATAGAGGAGCACCAGGGTTCACTGGTGGCCGTAACACTTGGATAAAGCCTTCTCACAACAATTTGGGGATTTGCTCGTTTATCCTAACTCTGTTATTAAGTCAAATTGATTTTAAAAGGTAGAGGTGGAGGGCGCTAATATACCCTTAACAGAAGGATATTTGTCTGCGTTGTTATTTATTTATCCATAACAACCAATTGTACCCTTATTTCACTTTCTACCCATATTTCAGTCAATATCTTCAAGGGGCCATTAAGCAGATGGTAACTGAGATGGTGAGTGAGTGAGTTGGGTCTAACCCCTCTTTAACACTATTTCTGTATCACGACATGTCACTTTGAAATGAAAGGGAACTTCTTTTGAGTAGTATTTTTATAAGTACATGCATGTAACACAGTTACACTAATCCAGAAATATTGTTTCTCAGAGTGAAGTCTACATTTATTATTGCAACAGTGTATTAATAAAAGTTATGTTCCAATAAAGTTGTTTATTGTACAAATTGTTTTGAGGAACCCTTGAAACATGCCGCAGCTGTGACGTCAAAGTGGAGGAACGTCCGCCATTATGTTTCGTTTACAGTGCATTAATCTACATGACAATGAAGTGATTTTCAGTTATTCTACACGATGTCTGGGAGGAGGAAAATGGAAACCGACTGGACATGCTATTTTGTTTCTCTTGCATTTTGAGGCATATGTCTATGGGAGAGTTCCACATTTAGCATTCATTGTTACATATAATCCAATGTTTACTGTAAATCTTCTTTAAGGTCAAGTAACAGGTGCACAGAACACAGTAGATTTTTTTACATGACAACTATATTACCAACAAGTAAAAACAAAAGGTGACTCTCCTGTTCAGTAATTGTCTAGAAATCTCCCCAAGACTAGGTGCCACAGGGTTCACATGACCACGAATCTGAATTGTGATTGGTCAAGGTCAAGTGACCCAAGGGCAGTGCAATCTGATTGGATCATGACATTTTTCAAACTAGCCGTCATCAGAGTAGTCGTTTATCACAAGTTGCTGACACAGCAAACAATGTCAGACTGAGCAAGCTTTGTGTTTTATCATCAAGATTGCTGCTAACATGGCCTTGTGACCTCATCCATGTTGAACCTCACGCTAGATAACATCTTGATGGGCAGAGCTGCTGCTCCAGTGCACTAGAGTGGCAGATTCATGTAAATATAGGTTTCACTGTCAACAAGTTCCACAATACTCTCACAAACAATACCTGGTCCATGTAAATCACAATGTTGTCTAATTCCTTTCTAATTTGACATCCAACATGGAAGTGTAAAACTCATACATAAATTTTGATGCCCCCAACTATTATTTCTTGAATGGCCTGATTCAAGGGTGTGCGTGAGGATATCACAATGGGGTACACCAAGAACGGGTCTACATAGCCATGAGAAGAAGCAAACCCGGGGGCCTCGGGAGTATTCCTGAATGCCTTAACCACTTGGCTACCCAACCACAACCCAAACTGCAAGGACATCTTTTCTGATGTCGAACTGTCTTACCTTCACTCTGAGTTCTTTCATTGGCTGAGGCATGAGTAAACCTCGTATCTGGGTGACAATTGGTCCATCAGTTCCTGCCAAGACAACACTGGCTCCCTCGTTAATCTTTCCATCAACCAGGATGACATCAATCGTTGTGCCGAGCCCTGGCAGTGCCTTCACCTGAAAACCAGAAAGTGAGTGAGTGAGTGAGTGAGCGAGTGAGTGAGTGAGTGAAAGTGATACTGCCTGTATGTAACTATTACTCGTGTTGACAGGTGAAGTGAAATGGGGTTTAATGTCGCATTTAATATCAAGATCATTGCACTTATAAGTCATGCAGCGACGTGCATGCACGTGTGTGTGTGGCTGCTTGTACTAGACCAGATATATGGCAGGTGCAAGCCTACTGAGAGACCGTGCCACAGCCTAACATGGACACCCCACTTATACAGTAGGGGTGGGTTTTTGAGGTTTTTGAGGTTTTTGCATTGCAGAAGGTCGTATTGCGATATGTATCATGACATATTGTATAATTCTAAATTTTGAATTCTGAAGCAATCTGATACATTAAGGTATGAATTGAAGTTCATAAATGGAACAAAACAAGATGCTGGTACAACATAATGTTTACTCAGTCAATAAATACGCAGCCATCTTGGGGCCCCGGATGCATGCTGCGGGGCAGCAAAGGTATTTGGCAAGTATCTAACATTAAACACATGACAAAAATCACTATTCGAAATCACAGGATATATCAAGCATGAAAAAAATGATATTGTGATACATATAGTGGAAAGAATTAACCTCAGTTTAGTGATATACTGATAATACCATCCACCCTTATTAGACACAGTATCCTGACTCTGAACCAACCAGTCCATAGTTTATCCCCTTAATGCTGACTACAGGCAGGGTAACAACATGTACCAATTTTAAGAGATGTAGCCAGGGATCGAAACACTGACCTTCTGCTCTCCAGGTGGACACTCTCTCAACTACACTACGGAGGCAATCTCCACGTCGCCAGTGAAGCCTCAAGCAAATGGTCTAGGCAGGGTATATCATGGTCATCAAGTCAACCTGCATCTTACCAGACAATCCACTGATTGATATTATGAGCAACCACTCATGTCGTTGGGGATAAAATGACACTACATCAACCAAGGCACTGAGCATGACCATTAAGTCGCCTCGACAAACATACGTTGCAAGGCGCCTAACTAAGCCAGAATCCCCACACGGGACGATAGGGTCAAGACAAACACCTTACCATAGTGTTCTGCTCAAGTCATATTATTTTAAGTCAAATTATGAAATTGTATTGAAAACCTTACTATTCAGTTTCACATACACAATTATATTTCTTTTTCTAAGAATGTTTATTAATAAGACAACAGAAGATTACTTACACAATGTACATGTTGGCCTATGACAGGCCATGAAATGAATAATGTCAAAATATGTCAAAATTCATTAAAGGAATTTGGAACCTAAAGGGATTTATCCAGGATTCCCTACTAAGTGCATGTGGCAGGTAATTTTGGAAGGACAATCCTTATTTTGCTCCAAATTGACAGTGAAATACCAGTCACTTTAACAAAGCCATAACATTAGTTATTACTAAATAACATGAAGTGAGAAAATTGGAATTCCAATTTGGGAATTTTCACTGTCATTTACTGTGAATTCAGTCTGAATAATGGCTCCTGAGCAGCTCCAGATGAATCATGGATCTTCTCATTGAAATCCGGCCATATGCTTTCATCCATGGTTTATAGATTTTTCTTAGGGTAGATCAAAATGATGTGACAGCTCACACCTAATTAACAAGTTCGTTTCATAATGACCCACACAGGTGTCAACTCAGTACATATCCTCACCACCCCAACCAACACCAGTGCAAAGATCACGACCACCACACCTCAGCTTTTTTCATGACAAAAATGCAATATTTTCCTGACAATTTAATTATAACGTACAACTAAGTCTTTCAATGAAAATCAATTTGATAAGGGAAGCTGCTGACACTAGAGTGACCTTAAACGTCCCCGTCTGACTGGAACAAATATTGCCCCGCTTTCAGCCACCCTGGCATCCAACTAATGTAATATTTAATGCCTTTTCAGGCAGCCCTCTTCAATAGACGTCATAACGCGAGGTGACGGAGTCATTGGGCAGGCATTACTGTGCCTGGTTCCTCCAAACTCCCATTCTGACAACTCATAAATTACAATCTAGGTAGATGTAGTGAGGGTGGACCCCAGGACGGAACATGTTGGCTGAATACTCCCGTCAGATCAGTGTCACCCCAATAACACACAAATAGCTCTAATCTCATAGCACCCATTTAGTACACCTGCAGTCTGCCCAGGAAGGGTGGCGGGGGTGTGGGGGAAGGGTAGTGCTCTGACAGGGTGGATTGTGTGAGAGGTGAGGTAAGTGCCCAGACAGGGTGGATTGGGGTGGGGGTTAGTGCTCTGACAGGGTGGATTGGGGGAGAGGTGAGGTTAGAGCTGTGACAGGGTGGATTGGGTGAGAGGTGAGGTTAGTGCTCTGACAGGGTGGATTGGGTGAGAGGTGAGGTAAGAGCTGTGACAGGGTGGATTGGGGTGAGGGGTGAGGTTAGAGCTCTGACAGGGGGGATTGGGGTGGGGGTTAGTGCTCTGACAGGGTGGATTGGGTGAGAGGTGAGGTTAGAGCTCTGACAGGGTGGATTGGGGTGAGGGGTGAGGGGCGAGGTTAGAGCTCTGACAGGGGGGATTGGGGTGAGGGGTGAGGTTAGAGCTCTGACAGGGTGGATTGGGGTGAGGGGTGAGGTTAGAGCTCTGACAGGTTGGGTTGGGGTGAGGGGTGAGGTAAGAGCTTTGACAGGGTGGATTGGGGTGAGGGGTGAGGTTAGAGCTCTGACAGGGTGGATTGGGGTGAGAGGTGAGGTAAGAGCTCTGACAGGGTGGATTGGGGTGAGGGGTGAGGTTAGAGCTCTGACAGGGTGGATTGGGGTGAGGGGTGAGGTTAGAGCTCTGACAGGGTGGATTGGGGTGAGGGGCGAGGTTAGAGCTCTGACAGGTTGGATTGGGGTGAGGGGTGAGGTTAGAGCTCTGACAGGGTGGATTCGGGTGAGGGGTGAGGTTAGAGCTCTGACCGGGTGGATTGGGATGGGGGTTAGTGCTCTGACAGGGTGGATTGGGGTGAGGGGTGAGGTTAGTGCTGGCGGTGGAGAAGTGGAACAGGTGGAAATATAGCGGGATGAAGGGGCTGGGTGAAGGGTAAAGAGGCGGATGAAGGGCTGGGTGAAGGGCCGGGTGAAGGGTTAGTTGGTTGGTTGGTTTGTTGTTTAACGCCGCACTCAGCAATATTCCAGCTATATGACGGCAGTCTGTAAATAATCGAGTCAGGACCAGACAATCCAGTGATTGATATCATGAGCATCGATCAATGCAATTGGGATCGATGACATGTATCAACCAAGTCAGCGAGCCTGACCACCCGATCCCGTTAGTCGCCTTTTACGACAAGCATAGTCGCCTTTTACGGCAAGCATGGGTAGCTGAAGACCTATTCTCCCCCGGAATCTTCACGGGTCGTCGGGTGAAGGGCCGGGTAAAGGGGTCGGGTGAAGGGACCAGTTGAAGGGAACATCAATCATACATGGAGAACAGGAATACTAGGTAGGAATATTCATCTGTCATAGGCCAATCATCAATAATTTCATTTGAATAGGAACAGCTCTTTAAATATGTCAATGCTATGTTAAAAACTCACTCACTTCTTGAGGAAGGTACAAAAGGTTTAACTTAATCTGAGATGAAAATCTATATTTTTGCAAACTGAGGCTTCTGTTTCCCTGTATCTATCTGATTCTGTGTGTGTAAGCCTTGCCATGGCTTCCAGACCAAGAAGCCTTGTCCTGATCGTACCACTTCAGGGTCCCTACGTAACCCCCCTCCCCACACCACCCCCATCCCCCCTCTGCCACGTGTGTGCCATACCAAGGATGTAATCTCCCTCATACAATTCTCCACCCGCTTTCAAGAAGGGACGTTAATGCAATAATCTCAGGTGTCGATGCCATAGATTGCAATTCCTAAGAGCAACAACAATCCAAGATTTGACAGTGAGGTGAAACTTAAATTGTCACTAGAGGACTGTAAACATGACTTGCGTAAGCTGGATGTTTACACTGACCACCAACAGGGGGCGCTGCTAGGCAAGGTACACACAGGTGTGTGTAACTAGCTCGACGCTCACACGTGCAACTGTAGCCCAGAATCCTGCCACACTTGGGTACATCAAGGGATATCATCCAATACTGGATCTTACATTGTCTTTAAAAAGTCCACTTCACTTTTACTTCTTTTTTTTTTAAATCCTGGTTTGTGATGATTTTTCTTCTTTCAAATTTGGTTATGAAAAAGTAAGATAAAAATATCATGTTCTCAACCACCCAATACCACTGAATATGAGTGAATCTGGTATAGTTCAGGGTTACAATGGCTACTAGCTCCTTAGTGAGTAACGAGACGTTGTCATGGGAACTAAACTTGGGCAAACAGGGAGTCCCAGCTAGTCTCCAAAAACAAAGTCTCCAAACACCTCAACTTGTGACATGCAAAGTTTTGTAAGAAAGTATTTAACAGTTTTTGAGTTACGCTCCGGAAACGAACACCACCCTTATAGAACCTAAGTCCAATTTGTTGCCATGTAAACGTAAAAAATTAAAATTCCTAAAATTCCTAAATAGCAAAAGGCACAACTTCACCACTTATGTGATATAAATGCAAAGTTTGATGAAGAAATATTAAACGGTTTTCGAGTTCTGCTCTGGAAACGATTCAGATAGACGGACGGACGGACATGCCCATAGCTATATCCTCCTGCATTATATGCCAGGGGGATAAAAAGTGATGTTTAAAAGTATAACTTCACCTATTGCCATTTACACAATTTTTTACAAGAACTACTTTTCATGGGGAATCCCCGAGGTGAACATTTCTCTCTTGTCTCCCCTGCTTACCACGTTCTTGAGGATCAGCACTATAGGACAATAAATAAACATTTCTTTTGCACACAATGTTTCACTGAAACACTTATTTACATACATGTAATTGCATTAAGCCCCTGGATGCCACAGGAACATAGATCTCTATACATTGTCCCTCCTCTTTAACCCTCACTGTTAA